TGAATGACTACTACAATACATTTTGTGTTGCCTGTTGGATGAATTTGCATGTTAACTGTAGGCTGATATAGATTTGCCTTTAAAACTCCGGAAGAGCTACATAGTCATCATTAGTTTCTGTTAATTATGCATCAGACAAAAGCCATTTGTTACCAAACTGGAAACACAGAGGCTTTTCTCAAAGACTTCATATACTGTAACAAATATAAATTTAAATTTGTGAAAACACTCCGGTTGCTCTAAGCATAATGAAGAATTTTTGTAATGAATAGGTTGTTAATTATTTATTATTGCTAAAAAGGAAAAAAAAAGGCATAAAATGACCTTCTACTGATTAAATGTTCAGTTTTTCCCCAAACTGGAAATGCCTCATCATTAAATAGGGTCTATAATTTTGTTTCAGGAAACACAGCAGATCGATGTTTTATGTAAAATATTAAAGTATTAATATAAATACATCAGAATAAAAACAATCTGAATCCGGAAAACGGCAGTCCTAAAAGTTCATGAGACAGATGAACTTGGAAGCAGAAAGAAAAGAAAAAGAACATCCTTTTTTAACCCAAATCAGACATTAAAAACCATTGCAGAGAATTGTGGATTTTGGATTTCAAACATTTTCAAAAGCATAATGGAAACTTTTCTGTAATTTTCTTATCATTGGATATTTTTTAAAGTGTTCATCAAGTTTACCAAAAGTTATTGTAGCTTAACAGATTTTGTGAGCGCTATGATTGGCAGAAGCTGCATTTGCAAATAAAAATAAATGTTTGCCTTTTCCCCCATGGTGTTATTCGAAACGTCAGTGATTTCCCAAATTTGTCCTCTTGAGTAGGCAGGAATGTTTCTTTGTGATCGTGGGGAATGCAAATGAGTTGGCAAAAGTTGTCTGTAAATAGTCCCATCCCCAGAGTTTGCAAATAATGCAAAGGCGGGATATGGACACCACTCTGGGGGTGGGGGGATTGTTAAATTCTGGAAGGCCAAGTTCAAGGAAAGCCAGGTTCAGGACTAAGGACTCCCACTCCATTTCCCTGTTCTGAAAATGCTAAACTGACCAGAAGGGTTTCATTAAAAAAAATATATGGAAAAAAGCCTGGATTAGAGCAGGATGTGACAAGCGCTCGCTCTCTGGGATCCTGGAAGATGTTGGGCTCCCTACTCCTCTGAGGGAGACAATAACATTGATCCCACCAAGGGGAGGAGGATACCTGTGCAGAAAGAGCCTGGAAATTTTGGACTGTGAAAACCTTTGCGTAGTAGTCTGAGACAGCGCCATGAGAAGAGACTTCATACATTGTGTGCCAGGGAAGAGAAACATGGGACCAGCCTCCCCCAGGCAGGGTCCCTCAGCCGCTGCCGGGCATGGAAGGAGACAGTGAGTTAGTCCCGTTGGTCATGTTTGAGGGAGGATGAGAAGGAAGCAGGGAGCATGACAAGCCACGTGGCCAGCAGCCTGCCCAGGCTGCAGAGTCCACGGGAAGCACACACATGGGGGGCTGGGGGGGAACTCTAGGCAGATATGGATGTTTTTCTGCAGTGAAACAGGGTCAGGGTGGAGCTGAACCTTACTCTAAAGACCACCTACAGTGTCCACACCTGGACGACTCCAAATAGCAGAGGCTGTTATCTTCAGCAGAACCAAGATGAGATTCAGGCCTCTCCCCTTCCTCCGAGAGCACCTCCAAGGCAGCAGGCCACAGGCAGCCAGACTATTAGAATCTGCCCTTCTCATTTACCTCCATAGATCTGAGCAACATGTTAATGTGAGACCCTGTGATTTGGGGGAGGGATTTAGGAGAGAGGAAGGGGAGCCCAAGAGCACACCAGATATCCTGCCACTACCTCCCAGCTGCTGTCTTTCTCTCTGGTACAGATTTAGTCTGAGCAAGAGAGAAGGTATGTTATTTTTTAATTACAATGAGATGGATTTTTAAAACTGGATGAGACAGACTGAGTTCTGGTTGTGTCTCTATTGCCCCTTGAGAAGAACACGCTCAGTAGCAATAACTGGGAAAAAATAAAATCACTCCATGATGTTAACGACTTGATGAGTTCACATTTCTTTGTCAAACAGATCCAGTGACCAGCACAGAGTCATCAGAGGAATGGTAATGAGATTCCAGGAAAAGAAAAGATGGGTTTGACCTGAGGCTGATGCAAAATGTATAAGCAGGGGAAGTTTTGTGAAAATGATACAGTACAAATCCACCCTGTGCCTCAAAGCCGGTCAGTCTGGGCCTTGCGGTGTGTGTGTATTGGTTTCATTTCAAAGTCAAATGAATACATATTGTCATGAGGGGTCTGCCAAAAGAAGAGCCTAGAACAGTGGTTCTCAACCTTCCTAATGCTGTGGCCCTTTAATACAGTTCCTCATGTTGCGGTGACACCCAACCATAAAAGTATTTTCGTTGCTACTTCATAACTGTAATTTTGCTGCTGTTATGAATTGCAATGTAAATATCTGATATGCAGGATGGTCTTAGGCAACCTCTATGAAAGAGTTTTTTGACCCCCAAAGGGGTCGCAACCCAAGGTTGAGAACCACTGGCCCAGAACACGCTTACTGTTACACAATGCTTAATTCAGGGGATGAATGAAGCAATGAGATTGGAAAGAGGAGTGCCAAGTAAAAAAAAAAGAAAATGTGTTTTAAAGAATGGGTTATCACAGTAGGCAACTGGGGCTCCAAGCCTTTGGAGACTTTCTGAGAGACACTTGAGCATTGCCCTTGGGGGGAGGGGTGTGGATACTGGGTTAGACAGTCAGCATGCATTACCCGTCATGGTTTGAGAGGTGCTCCAGGAGCATTGACTAACTGCCAGAACTACTCCCACCTTGCTCTGCATGTGGGCAAAGTTTATTCCCTTCACCAAAAATGGCACAGGAAGCCACTGAAACTATCTGTACATGGGCTCTGGGAATATGTGTGGGACCCAGACAACCCCTCCTACATAAACATAACTAATTAAGGACAAAAAGTAGACTTGAGAAAATCTATGGATTGCTAATCTCTGTAACAAAAATACACTGTTTTGAAAGCAAAGAGATCCCTTATCCTGATATTGCTCAAGTGACAAATGCTTTAATAATTACGCCTCATCATTGCCAGCATTTTTAACAACTTGAAGTGTGAAAAGACTGTAAGATCTTATATGACCCTCCTTCACTGTAAGATCTTCTATGACCCTCCTTCACTGAGTTAACCAAGACCCCAGAGAGTTAGGTGATGACAGCACATTAATCATAATACATGTTGAGTAGCTCCTACCCAAAATGTTTGGGAACAGAAGTGCTTCAGATGTCAGATTTTGGAATATGTACTTTATACAGGGTGTCCATAAGTTCGTGTGCAATTTACTATGTTAAACCATTTTAAATTGCACATAACATTGATGTCTACCCTGTGCTTACCAATTAAGTACCCCAAATCCAAAAATCTGAAATTTGAAATGCTCCAATGAACATGTCCTTTGAATGTCACATTAACACTATAAAGATTTTGAATTTTAGAGCATTTTGGATTTCAGATTTTGGATGCTCAAACTGTACCTGAATAGATTACACACACACACACTTCAGTTCCATGAGAGCAGGGAGTTTTACCTATTTTATTCACTGAAGTGTCCCCAGTACCCAGAGCAGATGCCTAAGTTCAGAATTGAATGAAATGTCACCTTTCATTTTAGCTCAATAAAAACTGAAGTTGTAGTTTTTCCCCCCAAGTTCATAAACTTTGACAGGCTTCCTCACACCCAAATTGAAAACCTCCTGAGTGGTTTACTGGTTGGAGGTTGGCAGGGAGCAGGTGAATCCCCACATGGAAACATACTCTGAATTCAAAACAAACTGACACAGAAAATTGTAGGTGCCACATTAAAAAAAAAAAAAAAAGTATTAGTCCCTGTGAATGTTTTGTAAACTCTTGTTTGGCAGGAAAATTTGGAATCCACTTATTAAGACTGGTGCTAGCAAAATGCCATTTAATACCTTTCACGAAGCATCACCAGCGTGCCAGCGACTGTACTAGGGACTTAATTGCATTTTCATGAATCATCAAGTAACTCTGCAAAGATGAGGGAGTGAGCTTCCTTTTCCAATGAGAAGATGAACCCAGAGAAGTCCAATAACTTGGATAATTTTTTTCATGTATGGTGGTAGCAAAGGAATTTAAGCAGAAATGTTCATATTTCTGCATCAAGGTTACCTGGTTGCATCGTGTAAACTATAGATTCTGGGGTCTCAAAACAGAGTTATCAGTCAGTCTGGGGTGATGGCCTGGAACTAATAATCATCTCAGGAGACCGCTGGTTCTGATACAGGATGTCTTTGAGGATGACTTTGAGACACTGTTTTAAGCTGCCTCTATCTGGCTTAGGTCATTCCGAGTTTGTTCCAGTGAAAGGTTTGAGCCCCGAGCCAGTTTGAACACCTCCCAGTGTTTACACCCCTGTGCCCACAGCAGGCCGCTCCTCCACCGCAGCAGGCCGCTCCTGCCACCGAAGCAGGCCACTCCTGCCACCCTTCCTCCCACTTCTCCATTCAGCCCCTGCTGCTTCCCGCTTGCCTGCGTCTTGGCCAAGTCTTTGCTAATAGAAATTTGGGACAGTCAGTGTAGTTTGGAGAGCTCTGTCAAGCTCAAGGGGACAGTAACCAGAAAAATAAGTGAGTGACCCCTGCCCTCTGAAGCAGTTTCACTGGGCACTATTATTTCCTGGGATTAAGGGAGTCCTACAAAGAACCATACTCAGAATTTAAATCAAAGCCATCCTCCCTTGAGAGAAATCCACATCTGGTTCATCAGGCTTGGTGTTTCCACATTTTTTCACTGAAAAAAAAATTCAACTTCCCCAAAACTTATTTCCTGCCCCTTCTCTACTTTTTCTCTTGCAAACAATGAAAAAACAAAATCCCTCTTCCTCCTTCCCCAATTCTCTTCTGGATGCCAAAGAAAACAGTTTAGTTTAGTTTTGTTGTTTCAAAGGAAGCAGCCCAAAGATCAGAGAGTAGTGCGTTTTAATTCATTTTGATAAACAAACTCACATGGATTGATTCTTCAGGTCCGCCTCCTCGGACCTGGCACATTATGAAGTCCAAACAATTCTGCATAGATACATTAAACGGATTCTTGTGCTGCAAAGTTCACTGGGTGCGGGTAGCAGAGAAACATTCCCAAGACGATCACTAGACATGCAGGACGCCAGCCAGAAGCATGGGTCACATTCAGGGGTCTCGCTGCAGGGAGCATGAGGTTGTATTTTTGTGCATTGACAACTGTATATAAGGTAAGCCAGCTGTGTCGGAAGGAGCAAAAGACTCCCTATTCCTCTGAACTGAAAAGGGGTTTCCTCCCCCAGAGAAGTGTGTTTTCACAATCCCTAAACTTTGGGGCCAGATGCCAGGGCAAGTGGCATTTGTTAATCCTTGCAGAGTTCAAAGCCAAGCCACCATGAGCATGAGAGCCGATGGAGCCCCTCCTTCCCCACTCCCCATCCTGAAGAGAATACTGCCATTCACTCCATACAGCCAAAAGAATCCCCTGATCCCTGGGATTAAGCGTGGGTGCAGGCCAAGCAAGCCTCGGGTACCCAGGCCTGTTTGATTGTAGCTATGTTGGTGTGTCCTGGTGTACGAGGTGAGAAGTGCTGTTGTTCTACCTGATCCAGTTGAGGGAGGGCGAGGGGCTGCCTGCCTAGCGGCCCCTAGCCCATGTGCTTATACTGGGATCGGTCCCTGGGGATCTGCACCTGGTTGGCCGTCATTTTGTGGTGGATGTGGTAAATCGCGAGCGTTACCACGATGACAAGGCCCAGGATGAGGCCCAAGATCAAAGGCAAGGTCTCTTCCAGTTGCTCTTGTTCATCCACTGGGCATTTATGCTCTGAAAGGGGAAAGAAGAAAAGTAGTGAGTGTCCATCACCATATCCTGAATCGCACGCTGTCAAAATTAAAAGGGAAATGAGGGATGAAAACGTTTCTCAAGGAACCTTTGGGGAGGCAACTTTCTGGAAATGTTATTCATTCCCTGTCCAATCCCAAGGTTCACCACTTAATAGTTCTACCTAATGCAGAATAAAAATACACCAATTAAATAGGGCAACATCCCATTATCAGGTTCCTGGAAGATGTCAACAAAACGTCCAGCTAATTTGTTTAAATTTTCAGAGTTTTGGCTTTGGATGCAACATTTTACATCATCGTTAGTGTGTACTTATTTTTTAACTATCTATTGAAGTGTTATGTACACACCCAGAATTGCATGTAAATGTATAATTTTCAAAAAGACTAAAAATATCCAAGTGTTAGTACTGACACAGAACAACTAGAACTCTTAACACGCTTGGTGGGAAGTGCTACAACAACTCTGTAAAACTCTCTGGTAATTTCTAATAAAGACATACCCAGAATTCTCTTTTTAGGTATTTATTCAAAGTAAATGAAAACATATGGGCACCAAAAAACCTGAAGATAAATATTCTTAGAAGCTTTATTCATAATAGCCTAAAACTAGGAACAATCAAAGTGTTCATTAAAGCAGAAAGGATAAATAAATTGTGGTATATTCGTACAATGGAACAGGCAAGAATGAAAAGGAATGAACTGGGTATGGCTACATAACAAAATAAATGAATCTCAAAATAGTACATCGAGTGAAAACTGCCAGACTCAAAAAAGTCCATATGGTATGATTGCACACATGCTTATGTGAAGTTCAAGAATAGGTAATATGAATATTATCAGAATGTGCAGGGAAGGAACACAAGACAACTTTAGGGTGTGATGGAAATATTGTAGATTTTGGTCTAGGCGACAGTTACATGGCTGCAAGTATAGGTTAAATAGCCTTCCACTATAAATTTTAGATTTGGGCATTTAACATTCTTTATTGATACATAATATCTGTACTATTGATGGGGCGTATGTGCTGTTTGTTACAGGCATAGAGCGTGTAATGATCAAGTCAGAATCGACCCATCACCTCAAGCCTTTACCACTTCTGTGTGTTGGAGACTTTTCAAGTCCTCCCTTCTCGCTAGTTTGAACTATACATTTTTGGTAACTATGGTCACCCTATCCTGCTATTGAACGTTAGAACTTCTTCCTTCTACCTAACTGTATTTTTGTACCCATTTACCAACCTCTTTCTATCCTCTCTGCCAACCCTCACAGACACCACACACACCCCAGTGTCCAATGAACTACAAGTATCATCCGGATCTTGCTAACAGCTGAGCATCTTAGATGTCACTCCCACACCGGACTCTGCATATTAATAATGTCACCACAATCATGCACATTACAGATGGAGACCTGTGGATTTAAGAAACTTTCATTTGGGGATCAGTGTAGTATTAGCATAGTATCCACAATGTGCTAAAGGGACTTGTGTGATAAAGGTGTCAACCCCCATTTGGGCGGCTCTCAGCCCCTGTAAATGTCTGATAACCAATTTCCCTGACCCTTTTTTGATTTTTTTAAAGGGTCTATTAAGTAGACAGATATGAATTCTGCCAGGTGTGACTGCCTTACACAGGGAATCAGCTTTGCACAGGAAACCCTCATGCCGTGCTGGATCACAGCCACTGTCTACACACACACACGCACACACACACACACACACACACACACACGCCCCTGCATTGGGTGTACAGATCTATACAATAAGATACCTGCCCCTTCCAGCAGGTGTGCTCCGCTCACACCAACATACAAAAGCCCCCTAACCTTCTATTCTGGGGAATGAGGGCTGAGCACTAGATCACAGAAAAGCACCTAAATAAATCTTTCAGATTCCTCCAAATCAAATACACAGTAGGGGGCAGGTGCTGAAAGGCGCAGATGGGAGGAGCGAGAGACAAAAGAAGCTTGCCACACAAAGGCACGTTGATCCAGTGAGTGCTTCTGAATGAAGCTTGCCTCCTCCCAGGACCATCAAGGCTGAAGCCTGGGGCACCACACGAGAGACAACAGCCTAATTACTACTCAGAAAAGCCTGGGGTGAGACAAATGCAATTTGCTTGTGTTTTTCCATCTGCATTTAGAAAGTTATATACGATCACAAAGTTTCTGAGTCTGCCCAGAAATCTTCCCTACCTAGGACCTTGATGTGGATGAAAATTGATTTTTAAACAAAAGAGGTCATTAACTCTGTTAATGAATTTTCTCTTTAAATAGGAAAGGAGCTCTTATTTACTCTTGCTTTGTTCACAATTCTAAACATCTAGGAGGTTTGATTTCTCCCACGACTATCAGCAGCAACTTAGAAATAACTGAGAGGGGATCCGGGCGAGACTGTTGTGAAGAACTAGTGAAAAAGGCAATTCTAGCACCAGTGGTATCAAAAAAAAAAAAAAAAAGAAAGAAAGAAAGAAAGAAAGAAAAAAGAAGAAAGAAAGAAATCCCCATGACAACTGACCAGCAAAAAACAAAAAGTCATCGCAGGCTAATAAAAGTGCCCATATGAACTCAAAAACATTGCTTGTAGGGATCCCAGGAACTGATACCATACAGTCTGAAAATTCACATTTGTATAACGAATTCTAGTTGCCAATAATTATAAGTCAATTAACATTTAATGATACGTAATATTTTCAGTTTTAGAAGGACACTAACTGTTAGATTTTATAAATGCTCTCCTAATCAAACTGTTAAGGTCTTGACACCTAGAGTTGTTTAGCTACAATTTTGTAGAAAATTCATTAAAAAGGAGGAAGTTATCCTTCCACAAGAACAGGTACGTGTGACACTGCTTAACTTAATGTATTACATTCTGATTTGCAAGGCCTCGGAGTATTAGGAGTCTCTCCTTACTGCATCCACAGTTTCAGAATATCAATTCCGCCAAAGTTAACTGGACAGCTGCAATGTACCAACCATTGCATTAGATACCAATAATACAAAGATGATTAAAAACCAGGCCCTTTTCTCAAGGAAAATTTAACTTAGGAAGTCTACACTGCCTTCTGAATGACCACAGTGTGCGGGGGAGGGGGGCGGAGTGCTTTGTACTTTGTATTGGTTGAGTGGAAGCTGCATTTTATGAAAGCCAGAGGCCTTGAGAAATGATCCCACATGACACAGGTGAAGATTGCCTAATATCCTGAACTTTTGAATAGCTGTGTTCACCTAGGGGTCTCCAAACCAGAGGAAGGCACACACAAAGCAACCGGAATCTTCCTCCATTTTTAACCATGAGAACTAAACAAAATCTCAAATCGCCTTTCATAACTTCCCCTAAGCACATAGGGGAGAGAGAGAATAAATGAATTCACTTAGCCCAAACTTGTTTATCATAAAGCATTGTTAGGCTTGAAGACATAGCAAGAAACAAATAGTCCTCATACACTATTAAAAATACCCATACAAATGCAAAACCATTTCTGGTAGGGACCCCAAGGACTGATCCCCTTATGCTCTACCATTTCAAAGCCACAGAGGACCCAGAGAATGTGGACAAGTGGAGGACCTGTCCCCGCCACTGCTGGACCTCCTTTTAGGGGCTATAGACCGAGGAAAAGCCTTCCTTGCTCCTCCGTGTTCCAAGCAGAAGCAGCTGGGAATGAGAGTTTCAGCCCTCAGGGACCCTCCTCTCCCTGGCAGACTTCCCTTGGCCTGCTGATTGGAGGCAGGACTTGGTCCATCTCTATGACCTGTGCATACAGGCCTATCCACCCCCTTTCATTCTGACCACCTACAACCTTGGACTCACAGCAGTAGATCCTACAGCAGGAAATAGCCAAGAGAACACACAGAAATTGAAGCCCAGAGAAGCAAACATCCCCCAATCCATGGCTCTCTGTATAACCATTTGAAGATTTTTAGCTGCTTTCTCCTTGGAAAGTTTGCAACAAAATTTTGGCCAGGGACAGTGGCTCATGCTTGTAATTTCAGCACTTTGGGAGCCTGAAGCAGAAGGATAGCTTGAGACCAGAAGTTCAAGACCAGTGTGGGCAACATAGGCAGGCTATATTTCTACAAAAAAATTTAAAAATTAGCCAGATCTGGTGGTGGTGTGTACTTATAGTCCCAGCTACTTGGGAGGATGAGGCTCATTGCTTGAACCCAAGAGTTCAAGGCTGCAGTGGGTTATGAATTGCGCCACTGACACCCAGCCTGGGTGACAGAGCAAGATCCTGTCTGAAAAAAAAAGAAAGAAAGAAAAGAAACACACACACACACACACATATATATATAGTTCCAAGGTGACTTTCTTGAACCTCTCAAGGTTCATCTATTGGCAAAGAAGAGAAGAAAGGGAGGGAGGGAAAGATGAATAAATACATGAAAGAAAGGAGGGAGGGAGAATAAAGAGAAGGAGGAAGAAGACCAAAGAAGGGATTTAGAGTGGGAAGAAAAGAATAAAGTGGAGGAAAATGGATGGAAAGAGCCAAAAAGAAAGAGCTGCTGAGAAGAGCTGCACATTCAGCTTGCTGCCTCTTTGAGTCTTTTAAATTATTATGGAGGGAGGCAGCGTCAGTTCAGTCCACTGGAAATTCAAGTAGTAACATCCTGGCAGCCTGGCAGATGCTCTTCCATCCATCCTGAAACCAGCCATTCCTCCCCCTCCCCCACCAACTTACCTTCACTGAAGACAAAGTCTGAGATAATGTCAAAGGGTTGGATGTGAACTGCAGACAGCATCATGGTGACCGTCTTCTGCGGATCACTAGAGGCCAGTGAAATGGTTTGCTGAGCTTGACACTCATAGGACATCCCAGCTGGGGTGACCAAGGCAGAGAGGTGATGCGAGTTGGCTGTGTGCTTCCCAGCTGCAGCGGAGGCCCAGAGCAATAGTTAGGCCCCTCTGCGACAGAACCCACCTTGTTCCTAACCCTGCAGGCCAGAGAGCTGGCTCTTGTCTCCCAGATCCAGACCCCCTCATTACCCACCAGCAACCCCTCCTGTCTTCTCTGGGCCACCTTGCCAGCCCTGGGGCTCTGCCAGTGGCATCAAGTGATGAAGAATAATAAATAAACCCATGCTGTCCTGGACCATGGCTCTTCAAATATTAACTTAGAATTCCTTCTTGGAAGAGGAGGAGAATGATCCCTAAAAACCCAAACCCTTTTTACTGCATAAAACCTACCAATTGAGATTCCAAAGACACAGAGAGAACAGTGACTTGGCTTCCCATATATCACACTCGGACTGCTGGTGTGCTGGACAATGCCCTCTCATACAGACCCTCAGGAGGTCTGACCCTTCTTTCTCCTTTTCTGGACTAAGTTTCCCTCGTTCACTCATTCTCTCCCTCTTTCTTTGTATATTTTGGTCTGCTTTAACTGAGAGATATTTTGCATATGTACTTTGATGG